AAAATCAACGGCCCGAAGATGTTTGTCTCTTTCTTGAGTCTTGACCATCATCCATCCATCCGTTATGACCCTCTCATGGCACTGTTTTCCTCTTTCTTCCTCCTCTAACAGGTGGTGCTTGTTCCCAACGCTATGGCTCGTTTCCAAGACTCTGTCCATGAAGCACTAATGAAGCAACTTCAAGTTCAAGCAAGTGACCGTGAGTGTGACTCTACTGCCAACTACAAGTGTCAAAAAGGCGACGGTGTATGCTGAGTGGATGGTGGCTAATCCTGCGAAGAGTTGCAATGCACGGTGCGTAGGCCCGGGGCTTCCTCCTTTTTTTCCTGGCTACAACCCTCTCCCCAGAATCCCAGCGATCTGCTTTGTCCTTTTAAGATCCGTGTACGTATATCTATCTATCGATGCTGCACCCTCCCTCCCGAGGATTCCTGATTAACAGCCGCGTGTTGGCCTTCAACCATCACTCTACGGACGCACTTTGCAATATTCCACCTCGGCTGCTGGACGTCCCCCAGCGTCCGCCTTCAAGTTAGAGATCATCCTCCCCTTCGTCCCCACTGTCAACCGGGAGCGCTGTGTTCCTTTGCTGCTGACAATGTCTTCATGCCTCGCAATCCCGAGTGCACGAATCGCAGCCCCAGCCTCGTGTCTCCCAGGCGCCCTGGCAGCCCGCTGTACGTGCACGACGTGCGGTCTTTTTTTCATCGGTCTCTTATCACCGTCGTTATGTCCTCGCACTTGTGCGCGCTGCATCTCGGCCTCTTTGCTATTCTCGTTCTCGTTCTTCCCAACTCAAATCGCGGGTGCTCAGCGCCAAGTACGAGATGTTTAATCTTAATCTGGCTCTCCCGTCGTTGGCTATAAATTTTGATTGGACTTACCGCCATCTCGCTCACACCAGCCTCTATCACCGTGTTCATCGAGCCGCATTCTCAACAGCTTTGAAGGCAGACGAAACAAGCCGTCGTGGGCCACGGCGGCCACCTCCCGGGGATGAAAAAGCTCGTATCTTGCGGTGAGGGGAAAGCGGGGGTTCGAATCCTCCCGACGGAATCCAGCCTCGGGAAGACGCTTTTTCTTTCTTTCAGCTCTCCGAGTTCAGCTGAGTGACTGATGTACATTTTTAGCTATCTCCGCCCACCCCCGCCGCTCGCTGTTGAACTCAACTTTAATTGACATCGAAGATTACAAAGACTCGGATCTCTCTCGTTCGTCCAGATAATGCGGCCGTATCCTCAAGCTGGCGTGGTCCATGGCGGCCGCCTCCCAAAGATTCGAAAATACTTGAATATGCTCAAGTACAAGGAGGAACCCTGAGGTTCGAATCCTCCCGATGGCATGTGCACATTCGCAGACATTTTTTCTTTCGCCTCTCCCGGTTCCGCTTGTTGCATCCTCCATCGTGTTGGCTGTACGGCTCAGTATTTTAGCCATTCGTTGTGGGAACTCTACTCCAATTGTCCTCAGCGACAAAAACGATCTCTCTCGTCCTCACAGCGCCGTCGAAAACCAGCATCCCGAGCGGTGTCTCGGGGGATGTCACCACAAAATGGAGACATGACTCTCTGGATTCGCCGCTCGATGCACCATGCTGGATGAAGCGGATGTTCGCGGACAAGACGAAAAAACACTCACGAGGTAGTTCAACACCATTCCGTGGGGAGGATTCGAAACCCCTCAACCTCCATTCAAGTTCTGACGGCAGATTTATATTTCGGAAGCGGGCTCCATGGCCACGACGGCCTTTTTTTATTGCGTTGTATCGCACTCGTTCTCGTGGAATCAGCGCTGCTGCAAACCTAGGGTGGTGCTCGAGGGAGGTCCGCCGTTGGCGGTGACAGGGCACAACGAGCGTCGAGGACTCCTCGGTTTCACTTCCGCGTGAATACAAAGTGGGAAATCGGCAGACAAGAAGAAAAAATCGCCAACTCGCACATGCCGCCGGGAGGATTCGAACCCCCCATCTAACTCCATTGAAATGTTGCCGCAGCGTACCAATCGTTCGGAAGCGGCCTCCACGGCCACGACGGCCTGAGTGCACTGCGGCGTACCTCACCCGTATGCCTGTGGCGGGATCGCTGCACTGTTGAAAACCAAACTTTGGTCAGTCCACTATTCAAGCTGAAAGATAGAGCAGTGCCTCGCCTGACGTACTCGGCCGTCCACTCAACGCACTGCTAGATACATTTGGGAACGTGAAGTTGGCGAACAAGAAGAAAAAGATCCAAAAAAATGCACGAATTCAGCCACTATGTCGTCGGGAGGATTCGAACCCCCATCCAAATACCGTTGAACATAGTTGAACAACACATCTGTGGGAAGCGGCCTCGATGGCTACGACGGCGTATCCTAATTGCGCTGTACCTCGCTCGTACACCTGTGTAATCGCCGGAGTACAGCGCTGGGGCAAACCAAATCCCAGAGTCTCGAGCATGGCCAACTTCAAATAAGCACTTAGAGCGCTAACTCGCCGAATTCAGCGCCAAGCGACACACGTTGAATGAAAGTGGGAAGCGGGCGGAAAACAAAAATATGTTCACGAGTTTGGGCACTATGCCGTCGGGAGGATTCGAACCCCCCTCTACCTCCATTCAAGTTCTGGCGGCAAATTATATATGGGAAGCGGCCTCCATGGCCACGACGGCTTGAGCACACTGCTGTGTAACTCACTCGTACAGCCGACCTTTACATAAGCCTCTACTTAATCCTCGGATACTCACCACGGCGTTGACAACCAAAAACCTAGAGTGGTGGTGGTCTTGAGGAGGCTGAAGTCTCGGATCCGAGTCTGTGCTGGGAGTGCTCAGTGCATGGAATGCACTTTCGGGAATCGGGACAAGGGGAACAATGCGTCAAATGGACGGGCAAAAGAAAACGGACGAATAGAGAAGAAAAAGGTGACAAGAGGCAATGTATGCCATCGGGAGGATTCGAACCCCTTCCAAATGGGCGTTCAATTCAGAATTCAACCAAGACCTATTGTGATCATGAGGCGGAACCCATGGCTTATTTAGCTACTTCGACGGTCAACGTGATGGCCCCGGGTGGTGGAAATCGGGGAGTGAGATGTGGTTCAGGCGCAAAACGCCGAGCGAGCAAGAGTTTGCTTATATCGATGGCGGAGGCATCCTGGTGGGTACATCATGCTCCGAGAATGTACGCCAAGTCAGAGAAAAAAATCCGCACTCTGTTGACAGTGTTGATGAATGCCATCGGAAGGGTTCGAACCCTCCTTATTCCTGATGGACTCCTTGTCCTTGTATCTCTGCTCAGGAAGTGGCCACGGCCACAAGGGCAACACAACGGCGGGTAGCAGGAGTGAACTGAACCGCAGTGTCTATGTGGGGCGACATGATGGCCGGCTCGACGGCGAGGTCGGCAAGCCTCGGCATGCTGCGCTCAACTTCGACCAAAGTTTAACCGAGGTTGAATCGATCCTTTCCTCGGGCGCGTCTTTGCTGCTCGACCGCAACCCCGTTCAAAACCATTCCTGAAGTCCTTTGAGATACAGACGCTCGTACGCGCCCGACACAACGGTAACTGATGTTCAAGCTGTGCGCATCATGATGCCCAGACGCGCGGTCTCCATCTCTTCCACAACACTCATCTCCTCGCCAGCTTGCCCTTACCACCCACAGAACGCACCTAGCTCACTCCTCGCCATGGGGTGCACTAAACTCTACGTCAAAGCCTACGTAATCGGTTTCCTCGGCGCCCTTTTCTTCCTCCTTACCCCCGTCCTTATCGAGGCGTATTACCCCGAGGCCGCCCCCGTCGCTGCCGCCTTCGATTGGGTGAACGAAACCGCCGCGCGCGGCCTCGGCGCCCTTTCCTTTGTGATGGGAATCGGCCTTATCCTATCGGTCGGGAACAGCGCGTGCAAGGGCCTAGTGCGCCTGTTCACCCGCCGCGCTAGCCCCGCCACTGGGCCCATCTCGCTCGAGGACGGCACCGCCGACGCTGGCACCGAGGTCGCCCCCGCCACTCCCACTGCGATCCCCGCCCCCGCTGCCGCCGACAAAGCCAAACCCATCCTCCTCAGCCAAGTCCTCTCCCTCCTCTCCTTCACCTACTTCTTCACCCGCCAATGCATGCTCAACGAGCTCGTTTCCCTCGACCGTCCCGTGCTCGACAACGTTCTCGCGGTGGCGCTGTACGTCCTGCGCGGGCTCGAGGTCGTGTTTACGCTCCTCTTTGCGCTGCTGTTCATCGCGTGGGTGAGGCACAAAAAACCTGCGGCGCCGGCTGCTGAGGAGCCGCCGGTGTTGCCCGTTGTGGCTGAAGCGCCGGTGGAAGTGAAGGACAAGGACGAGAAGGAGCTTCTTGTGGAGGCGGAGGCGCTCTGAGCTTGCTTCATCTACACTCGCAGAAATTTCTCGTCATATTCTGAACTCGGTATCGTAGTTACGCTCCTGCCGCCCTCCCATAACCGCTCTATCTCGCTACTTACATAGACTGTGGTTTCACAGATCTCAATCCCCTTCCTTCTCTATCCACTTGTTTCTCGTTCAAATCAACGGACTCTTTGTCTCTGGAACTTCCCCGATTGCCGCAACTCGCACCGCAACATGTGCTGTCCGTCCATTTCCGTTTGCTCCCGCTTTCAAGTTAAATCGAACTGGACGCCATCTCTCGTGTGCTCATTCGGCACTCATCAAGCCTTATCTTCAACGGCATGAAAGACCGGTTAAACAAGCTGTCGTGGGCCATGGCGGTCGCCTCCCAAGGATTAGATGAGTTTATGCCTTGCGGGGAGGGGAAAGCGGAGGTTCGATTCCTCCCGACGGCATAAGTTTGGAAATTGCGCAATTCAACTTTCTATCCCTTATGCTTCCCAGTTCCGTTTCATTACGTTGGGCCTGCACACAGGCTGGCTCAGTATTCCCCACCGTTCATTGTCGGAACATGATTGACCTCGGCGACAACAATGATCTCTCTTGCCTACCATTAAGATAATCAAGCCGTCTACTCAACCTCACACAGGCTGGGTACAAGAAGCCATCGTAGGCCATGGCGGCCACCTCCCAAAAATGCAAGGGCAATCCATTTGGTTCTTCTAAGGAGGAAAACGGAGGTTCGAATCCTCCCGATGGCATTTAGGTCTGGAAGACGGTCTTTTTCCCTTCAGTCCTTCCCAGGTCAGGTTCTCTTTCTCGTACACCGTCACGTTGGCGCGATTCGTGTGAGTCACTCTTGCCTTTTCACCCTCTGTGTCACCAGTACCTCCTGTCAGAACACGGAATTCCAGTGATTCAACGCATGGACAATTCGGGCTGGAAGTAGTTGGTTCAATAAGCCGCGTCGTAGGCCATGGCGGCCGCTTCCGAAATATAAGAGAACAGACATATGCTCTTCGAGGAGGACAGCGGAGGTTCGAATTGGGTTCGAATCCTCCTGATGGCATCAATCGCTAAGAAAACACCTTTTTTTGTTGTTCTTTTATCCCTCCCCAGTTCAACTTTCGGGTACACCATTGCGCCGGATGCCACAGTCGCTTCAGTATATATCCCCCGCCTTTCGGTGTGGGAACTCAATTGGCCTCGTCTATCATCGAGATGATCAGGCCGTATCCTCACCAATATACAACATGGGTACAACACGCCGTCGTGGGCCATGGCGGCCGCCTCCCAAGATTATTTTGTGAATTTTGTAGCGTCCCTTGCAAGGAGGGAGGTGGAGGTTCGAATCCTCCCGATGGCATGGAAGAGGGCAAATAATTTCTTTTTGTCTGTTCTTGGAACCCTCCCTGTTCCGCCTCTGGTACACTGCCGATTCGGGTAAGTCACTTCCTTTTTCACGCTCTGTGTGCTTTACTCGATTCCTAGTTCGGCTTCTGGGACCCCGTTATGTTGGGATTATTATATTGCGGGTGAGTGCCTTTGTCCGATCTGTTTACCTTCATTAATGGCCAGTACCGTTGGTCAAGACATATTATTGAACACAAATTCATGAGTGGAAATTTCGGGCTGAAAGTAGTTGGAATAAGCCGTCGTAGGCCATGGCGGCCGCCTCCAAAATATAGATCCGATGTCTTCTGCGTTGTGAGGGGGAAAGTGGAGGTTCGAATCCTCCCGATGGCACTGTTTGATGCGGCTTGCGAGTTTTTTTTGTATCTATATCTCTTCCCGAGTCAAACACTTATTCGCCATTAACAGCTAGTACCCAGCCCCTCATCTGCGAGCTCTCAGTATTGAACCTGTTCGTATGCCAGAATTAATCCCGCGTTACTTCTTATCTCGACAGTCTTTCCCCAACTAGAGATTCAACGGTATGGCATCAAGGACCAGCGTAAGTGGAATAAGCCGTCGTGGGCCTGGCGGCCCGCCTCCCACCAATTATCGGATCGTGGTTTGAACGGAGGACGGAGGTTCGATTCCTCCCCATGGCATAGACGGCCGCTGACTCGCAGGCCTTCTTTTACTCGCTCTCCAGGCTTCCTACTTCCACGCCGCTGAGGCCACGAGAGCCCCCACATTTTCCCGCTAAGCGAGCTTGAACATCAGCAATTAGCACATTCGCCCTCGATCCCATCCACTCCGACTCGCGCTTGACTTGCGCCGTAAATTCAGGAGGATGGTTCAAACAAGGTTCAAGCTCAAAGTATGAAGCAGTAAGCCGCCGGAGGCTATAGAGTCCGTCTCCCAGCGATCATTGTAGGATGGTGATTCTGAATGGAGGTGGACGGAGGTTCGAAATGATGGCTGACTCGGAGGGGGCCATCGTCCAGTGGAACCTATCGGAACAAGGCCAGGTAAAGATAACATTCAGCGTACGTTGTACAGGCTAACACTCGTGCGAGTCAGGGGACAAGTAATACTTTTCTTGACCTCTGAGGCGTACGATTAGCTCATGTACTATCTACGGGGTGAGATGGGGTTGGCGTCCCAGAAAAAAGCGGCTGCATCAGATGCACCCAGCTTTCAGTTCGGCTGGCTTCGTCGACAACCGCAGAAAGACCCGACGACCTGATGGTGTCCAAGAGGTTCAGGGTGTGTGCACGATACGACGGACAAGAATCCCGACCCAGACGAAATGGAGAATATGTTCGTCGGAAAATGTCTTCACAGATGGTCGTCTCCTCCCATGTCACCCCGATAAACGGCAGGATGTTCAGAAGGACGGCATCTGACAAGGCATCCGAAATCGATTGCACTGGTACTGAGATATCCACCAAAAACTGGACGATTCTGGCGGGGATATCGGGGTTTCCAGGTTTAAACAAGGGCGCCGAGGGTTCGACAGTCGACCTGTTCGTGATTAGATGAAATATCAGTCGGCGAGAGTCTAACGTACGGATCCACCATTCTCTGCGCAATCAAATGTTGGATTATGAGAGTTAGGGCCTTCACTTTTTTGCGATAAGATAAACATAACAGGTGGTCCACAGTTTGCTTGTCCACGTTGCCACCAAGCCCTACACATCGTAGGAAATTTTGCGCGACGCTTGCTGATACCATGGGGTCCACGTCCGAGTAAAACTAGAACTGATCAGTTGTCGTCTACAAGTGCAATGAGGGAAGAGTCACGAATGATCCGCCAATGAAGAAATCATCTCGTTGTGACAGTGTGTTCACGTCAAAGAAATAGTAGTGGTCCCTTGCCAAGCCATGTCGACCTTCTTGTGTTGCTCCAATACAAGGTGTAAGATGGGAAATGATGTCCAACATGGCCTTGGCATGCTGCTCCAGTAACCGCCGTTCAATCACTGGCCAGAGGCGTTGAGTCGTAACGGCGTTTACCATCCCCACGAGCGACGGAGACGGCAAAATGGGATAAATGTTGCTGATATGTTCAATCCATAGATCATGGCCTGGCGAGTTCGAGAGAATTTTGAACGCTTGCTCACATTCCTTTGCGAGGGTCCCGTCATATCTCGCTTCCTGCTTCTGCGCGGCGGACACCCAGAGAATCGTTTCGAGGAACCTAGCCCCCATGACCGCGTGGAAGATCCGGTCGTTCAGCCGCGCAATTCTCGATATAAAGTCGATCCAAGGTAGCCATGGATGGCAACCGCTGGGCACTGCCCTATTGTAAGAATGCACTACGTTCAGCTCCGAGAAGCTGGTAGGTATGGGGATTAGAGTATAGGAGTGAGGTTGGGGAAAGTTTCATACCCTCGCTTGGAAAACAGCCCAACGCCGATAACCTCTGATAAAATTGCCACCAGCTCCTCATGGTCGACTTCCCACTTGGAGATACTGAGCCGGAGATGGAATGTCTCTCTGGTTGCAATTTGTGCGACAATCAACTGCATTGCTTCGCTATGAAGCCTTTTGGGGTAGAGCTCCGGTCTGGGAAGATACAGTATAAACATCATGCGTCGGAAGAGGCAGGACACATGCCTCGAAAGTTCCAAGAGATCATCGAACATTGTCTGGAGACCTCGACGTTGTGAGTGGTTATTGTCGGTGCAAGGCATAACTGCTTTCATGGCGGATAGTCGCCGCCAGATAATGAGGTAATCAGCGCTCCTGACAACCGCTTTTCCCATGGCCAGTATCGCTTTCCCAGCTAGTGCTCCTGGCCCCCATTGAGTGCTGGAGGATGTGGACGTATACACAGATCTCCCGGACAAGGAGTCCGAGTCACGGCAGGAGGAAGACATCGGTGGGTTTGTCGTGAATGAATTTGATCAGCTGCACATAAGTTCAGGAGAATATGTGGTGTTGAAAGGTCTGGGGCGGCCAGCAAGCGGCCAGAGGAATCTGTCGCACAAAGTTGCTTCGAGTTCGAGAGGGCTTGATGTGAGTTATGATGGTCAACAAAGCGGGTAGTGTACGTGTGCTTGGGTCTTTATATACCGAACACCGAATACTAGGACAAAAATGGAACCCTTATCTAGAGAAGACGGTGGTAAGCATCGAAGATCTGATCATTTATCAGACGTTCCGGTAGAGACACCTTCCGGTAAAAGACTCCGCATCCAGGCACTGTTCTGCCTCAAGATGTCGAACCGATCGAAATTCAAACAAGTACTTAAGTTGGATCATGGTTCGAGCTGAAGTACCTACATCAGTTCGACGGGGTAAGATCTCCTTCCTTTTTCTCAACCCTTACTTGCTTGTCAACAAGGCCCGGTTGACAGACCTTTTGCCGGTCTCGTTTTCGTTTCTCTGGGCAACTCGAATTGAAAGTACTCAACGCCAGCGAATAGTGAGTACATCGTCTATTATGGATTGTAATGGCATCTGGTTCCCGCCGTTCCCTTTCAAGATTCAATTAAACTTCCCGTCGTGTCTCATGCTCAGCTATCACCGCGTTCATCATGCTACCTCTTCCACAGCATGCGACGCATGAAAAGAAGCGTCGTATAGGCCATGGCGTGCGCGCCCCTCCAACAGATTGCAGTCTCGAAGACGGATGTTCGATTCCTCCCGGTGGCATCCGGCTCCGAGAACCCTTCACGCGTCCTAGCTGCTTCCGATACACCTTACGTTCCAGGGCGCGCACACAGCCAGGCTCAGTATCCCGTCTTTCGCTGTCGTAACTTGATTGACCTCGGCGCCAACAATGTTCCTTGGACTTTGTTGCGTGTTCATGTTTCTTCCCGGTTCAACCCGCATGCGTCCCTTCAACCTTTTCACCCACCTGCCATGCTCTGCTCCCCGTAGGAACTAACGGGCGTGGTGTGCGGAACACAGCAAGACTGTTTCAGATTATAGACTTTCCATCCATATTAGCTTGCAGATCGGGGTTCGACTCCCCATGTCCGAATATCTTGGCCTCAGTTTTGCCCTTGCGTCATCAGACGGTACGAGGACGTAAAAATCCGAATCCGCACGAAGTTCAAGTTCACGCCAGCCGTACAAAATCAAAGTAAGTAGCTCGCGATGGCCAGCAAAATGGTAAGTTACAACAACAACATCCCGGCACGGGCGCGGAGATCGATAAAATAAGCAGGTAGATGAGATGAGATCCTTGAGTGCAGCAGCAAGCGTCAAGCGTCCAGTGATGAGAATGGGAGACGTGATCATCGCGCCCAACTGGTGTACGTCCCCGCGCTTCCGTAGGGGTGAGGCTGTGTCCATAGAAAAATAATCGGTCAGCGGACAGCAGACATTAGCAGTGGGAGGAAAATAAAACGAAGAGAGGAGGAGGAAGGAGAGAGAAGGTGGGGAGTAGAACGCACCTCTATATCCCCTGCATCCAAGCCCAAACCCAAACTCTCCTCATCCTTCGCATCGGGGTAGCTGTTGCGATAGCTCGTATCGTCGTCGTTCCACTCACTCACCATCCCCGTCCCCAGCCGCTGCTGCCCCTGCCCCTGCCCCTGCACCTGTGTTTGCCGCCCCGTCGTGCTGGGCCGGTACCCGCCGCCGCCCACCGACACCGACACCTCATCGTCCGCATCCGGGTTCGGCGCCGCCGAGAACGCGCCGACGGGGATCGCGCCAGGGACTGGCACCCTCCGCCCCGCTCCGCCGCGATTGGGCGTCGTGTACTTGTAATCCAACTGTCCCAGCTGCATCGTGGGCGTGGGCGGGCCCGCCGACTTGAGATTCCAGTTCCCGCTCCCGCCCCCGCCGCCGCTGCCGCTGCCGTGCGCGGTGGTCTCGCTGGCGTACGGCTCGAACGAGCGCGTGCCGGGGTCGCCGGAGGACGCGACGTAGTCCGCGCGCGCCTGCGAGCGGGAGGGCGCGGCGCGGTTGTTGAGCAGGACGAGGAGGGTGTTGGCGTAGATCCCCGGGAGGATCATTGTG